AAAGAAGCGACGGCAATTCTCGACGCGCGAATTTAAACAAAAAAATGAAACGCAGAGCGTGCGAGAATCAACTCTCCTAGATGTTCTGTTATGTATTACAAAAAGAAAGAAAAAAGAAGAGCATTTTAATTGTGCCCTAAATCGGGAGTAACTATAAGGGATAGTGTACTTTAAAATATATTTATATATATATATATTATATATATAATATATATATATATATACGTATACATAATATAGTATTCACTGTACATGTATAAGTTCAGAGATACATGATTATTATTATAATTTATTTTTGTATGCTTAAGATTACTAGATCCGTGTTCTATGATGTTGCTTAGTGCCATGTACGTTGGGTTTCATTCTTCCGCGGACCTGTACAAAAAAAGTAAAAAGAAGGAAAGAAAGGAAACGGCACTGAATAAATTATACCCCGTGAACGAGCGGGCATGTAGGTAACTAATGTGTAATAGCAAAGAAATAATGTTACTGATGTACACCGTTACAATTTGCGTAGCGGACCGACGAGAATTCGTAAATTAAAAGCACATAACGTCAACACATATTAGAAGAATTGCTACCCACAAGGGGGAGGAAATCTATTGATTATTCTTGAGTTCATCAAAGACCCTCTCTTATCATGTTACTTGTTCTCTCCGTCTCTTTATGTTCTATATAGAAATGAGAGTTATTCATGGCAAGAAGCGGAATGGGCAATGTGATCTTAAGAAGTTAATGGAATTGATTAATTTGAAATGAATCAATGGAACCTGAATATTAGATACTTATGCAGAAACATTTTGTCAAACAATTTTTATTAGACTGCAAATGTTTATACGAAGAAAGGTCATTAAAGATTAATTGGCAAAAATTGAAATGAAAATAATTTGTTATTTTGTACTTCAAATAAAATAGAGACTTCATTAAAGGTTACTGAACATTTTATTATACTGAGTTTTACACAATATAATATAAATGTCAGGTTCCGAGTTAATGTCTTCTTCTGGAGACATTTTGTATAGAAGTTTATCTAAGATGACAACTATAACTTTTATGTAATTGGAATTCTTATATCAAGTCGAATAATGATCAAATATTTTGACTGTCTCCGATTTCTTCCTCTAGTATGTGCTTTTAATTGAAACGATTGTAACATTTTTATTTGCCTTTAGCATACGATGCAATGCATGGATTACGAATGATTGTTGTGAATGTGTGGGACTGTGTGATGTATCGTTTCCAAAATAGCTTACTAGCTTTAGTACCGATACACGTCGTTTTAATGAGTTACAATGATCGTTACAAGCAATAGAACTAAACAATCAGTTGTACAAAAAAGATGAAACAATTCGCTCCGTGAAATGATGTGCGCCATGTGAACGTTAATTGTAGTAGTTTTCAGTCACGCTTACTTCGATGTTTGACCGACGACACCATTTCTTTTTGTATAGCGTTCGTTGCATTTATTCATTTGATAATAATTCGGTTGCTCCGACTATTCGCACCGAGGAAATGCATTGTCACTGTCCGATCGGCTAGTTTTAGGACAATTACAGAAGAGAAGCCGCATTATTGATGTGTATATTAAACAAAGTATTTGCTTTACACAGGATTGCAAATCACATGTGTTAAATACTATTTGCTTAAATGTGAAACTATATCGAAGAGTTCGAAACGAACGGATAATCGTCAATGTATAGAAATCGTTAATTCGAGTCCATACAGTTCTGTACAAAGAATATGGCCGCGTACAATAATGCAATCTAATGTAAAGTGCATACGATGCTAACGAAAATTATATTAATCGTAAAAGTTATAAATCGTTGAAATAAATACATTATAACATACATTGTTTGCAATTTCACCAAATAAATCCGTGATATCCTCGTATTTCTTAATTATACCTTCATAATTGAAGACAGAACAAGAAAAAAATTCGCCTGTTAGCGGATGTATTTACACTAAATCAAAAATAAAGATTTCATTAAGTGTCTATTGTTTCCGTTTAATAACTTTCTCTAATTTCTATATATTTTACATACTATTTAATTAAATGGTTATAGAAAATTCTTCGATAAATTATATACACCAATAGTTTTTATTTTAATAACTGAAATTTTGACAAATAAAATTGAAATTTAATATACATTTTTATTTAAACTATAATGTTTCTAACAAAATTGTTAAACATTCAGAATTAAAATGTATAACATATTTTTAGGTATTATTTTGCAACTCACCGATCGTTATCACATTCCAGTCATTGTTCCGTAGAAATGAAAAGTAAGTTTGCCATGGATGGCTACTGGTCAGCACCGTTCAGCATTAATTACAACTGGTAAACAGTGTGTATCATTGTCCGACACTATTCAATGAAGTCCAATAATGTCCAGCAATGCGTCAGAGTTTCAGTAGTTGCCTAGGAGACGAGAGAGGAGAGAGCTGCTCCGCAAATGATAATTCACGGTGAATTAATAGTGAAATTTCGAAATCTTTATCGCTGTTTCCCATTTTTCGTTCTTTATCGGTGATACTCGGCGACTTTCGGCCCTACTCGTTAGTGGTCCCCACTATAATTACTTTTGGATATTTAAGTATTGGAATACGTCCATAACAAAAATCACGACTGCCGAGCGCATCAAACTGCTCGAATTAACCGACGATGGGTCACGGTCAATGCAAAAATATTTGATTTTGTACGCACTAACCATTGGAATCAATATTCTATTAACATTTATGTAACCTTCGTTGAAATTGTAATATAACAGAAACTGAATTTAATATTCACCGCAGTTGACAGTCACTATTACAATTTATTTAACGCTCATTGAATTTTAATTTAATACCAATAGTATTTAATATTCATCAAAATTAGTATTCTGTTACAATGTATTTAAGCTTTATTGAAGTTTTATTATAACATGAACTGAATTTAATATTCACAAAAATTTGAACAAGTAATGGAAAATAGAAATTTGCAAATCTGAGAATATTAATACATATTTGCTCGACTAAAGAAAAGTGTGTAAGTACATATTTTGCTTTTATTTATTTTATTCATTTTAATTTTAATTCGATGAACACTGGATCATTATATTTTATTTAACACATTCCGTGCCACCGGAAATTTCTGTTATATCTTGCTTATGAAGTACACTGACTTTTTAAATGGCAGATTAAGTAGTAAGCATTCAAGCTTTTGCTGATTTTTAATATATTTTGATATTTTTTCTTTACGTTTTTGTTGTTTCGCGAGATGTACCATTGTTTTTTGGCACATGTCTCACAAAAAATGTTTCCTTACAAAGTTTGCACGTGTACCATAAATGTACACGTGGCACGGAAAGTGTTAAAGAGTTATTGTCGTATTAATTTCATTATGAACTATATTTTTGGACTTGAGTTTTCTAAGCAGAACTTTAATGAAACTGACTACACTTTTCTCAGAATTTTAAAGTTATTATTTTAAGTTGTGTACAGTGTCCCAGGAATGGAGCCCGTTCACGTGGGCGGCCCACGTAGGGATCCGCTTTGATTTTATTGTTATTTTATTTGAAGCTTAAAACTAATTTATCGACTACGTGATGGTACTTAGGAAGCTAACTTATCAATTACGCAATATGTCCGCAGACGTACCCTTAGAACTAACTTATCGACTACGCAATGGTGCTTGGGGAACTAACTTGTCAACTGTGGAAAATGTCCACAGACTGTCCACTGTCCTATCTCTTGTCGATAACCATATCGCCTGCAGCGTTACCAACATAGCACAGGCAATTTTGCTACTTGCTTAAACATTTCTGCGTAAGTAACGCTGTGATTCTTTTCCGACCACATTCATCAATAATTTCTAGAAAATGCATTTATATATTTGTGCTTGACAGAAATAATTCTGACAGAAATTTCAGTTTTTAATTTTCTACAAGAGTGTATATTTGAATAAAGTCTAATTTAACTCTATATTCGCTATTGTATATTAAAAGAATTAAATATTCATTAAAGCAGTTACGTTAAGTATCTTATTAGTTTTTATATTAAAACTGCGCCATTGTTAATACAATCCTCTCAGTTACCATGAAAGAACGTTATAAAATTGATGTTGAAAATGATTAGTTTTGGAGATTGTTCGATTTCAATATCTAATTTCATAAATTCTAGTCCCATAATCTCGGTAAATAATATGACACTTACGACAAACGAACTAGTGAAGAAAATTAACTTTTTTTTAAATATTCAAAATGATTCTTATCAACTGCAATATATTTTTGTTTTTAATAAATGAACGACTAGACGCATTGCATATGTCCCTGACGCCAAACAGTTGAATTATAAACTCTGATGATTTCACTTCTTCGAATCAGTGTCGCTTAGAAATTCATTACGATGAATTTTGGTTGGAGATTGTTGGGGATTTCATCATTTCTGTGAAAAAGTGATATTGTATAATGTCGCAAGGAAGCAAAAATGGGTGTATCACCGGAAAATTAGAATGTATCAAAACAGTTGAGCACCATTTCATCACCGTTACACTGATCCTAAGTCACAAAAAGATTGTACATAATAAGAGAATTTGTTAAATCGATAATTGAAATTAAAATATTCCGTAGACTAATAATTTTCTGACGTAAGTAGTAGAGAGTAACACAAACTGTAACGTTTAATACATTAAAAACGATACGGTTCTATTTAAAAAGAAAAACACCGATAACCTTGGACTCTTAAATATGGTCTTCAAACCAATTTTTTACTAATCACAATTTCAGCAACTTTAAAACATTTATTTCATCGAAACTTTTCCTATAATAAAATGCAAGTGAGTCATTTTCATTGTTCGAGTTAAATGCGACACTT